AGGAATAAAACCTGGGACCCTTCAGTCTGCAGGCCGACGCTCTATCCACTGAGCCAAACCAGTTTGAGCATAAACACCTTTTCTGACCGCTCATTGGCTCAGCTCCCTGTACACTGCCACTTGCAGTGTTCTTGGTAACTTGGGTTATAACAATCCAAGAAGGTGATCTAGGGTTTTTCCACCACACTCCTAGAGGAAAAATACGAAGGTCCACTGGTGGCGGGGCTAAGAAATGTCATATCCTGCCCTAGTCGGTTTGGCTCAGTGGATAGAGCCTCGGCCTGCTGACCACAGGGTCTGGGTTTGATTATGATCAAGAGCATGTGCCTAGGTTGCAGGTTCCTCCCTGGCTGGGGCCCAGGTCAGGGTTCATGCAGGAGGCAACCAATCAAAGTATCCCTCTCACACTGATGTGTCTCTCTGTCTTTCCCTCTCTTCCACACTCTCTAAAAATCAATAGTAAAGTAGCAGTATTCATTGACAAAAAAAAAAAAAAGAAAGAAAGGGGGCAGAAGTTGAATGTGGGGAACCAGCTAGAATTGTGAGAAATATTAATCCTGCTCTGTTAGCCATCGTGTTTGTCTGATTAGAGGAGGCACTGCCACCCTGGCTGGAGCTGCCCTGGAGGCGCAGCCTTCCTCCCCTTTGGAGCTGCCTGTCATCATGGGAAGATGAAGAAAGGTTTGTTACAGAAACCAGAGTCCCAGCCCTTTGAAGCCCCAGCCCTTTTGCTACCCACAAGCCTTTGCAAACCTCCAGCCTGCTCGCCGGTTCACTGCCCACAGGCACTCCCTTTGGCTGTTTCCCCTGGAACCCCGGCCCCTGCATGTCACTCAGCCCTGGGAAGACCCTAGTCCTTCTGCAGATCTGTCAACTGCCCTCTGCCTGCTTTCCTTTGTGCTTTTGCTGTATAAGCAGCCGGCTAATGGGGGGTGCAGAGCAGATTTCTGTGGCTGCCTCCAGCCTCTCGCCGGTTCACTGCCCACAGGCACTCCCTTTGGCTGTTTCCCCTGGAACCCCGGCCCCTGCATGTCACTCAGCCCTGGGAAGACCCTAGTCCTTCTGCAGATCTGTCAACTGCCCTCTGCCTGCTTTCCTTTGTGCTTTTGCTGTATAAGCAGCCGGCTAATGGGGGGTGCAGAGCAGATTTCTGTGGCTGATCTGCTGCCCTCCCAGCTGCCAGCAGGACTGGAACAAACGCTCACGTATGATTCAACCCTGTCTCTGCTTCATTGGCTTGAGTAGTGACAGGCAGCAGGACCCATTGTTTGTCCAGTTACAACGTCAACTTTTTCTACATGAAAAAAGTGCTTAAAATTCCCCATGAGGCCCTGCCTCAGGGCCACAGCTCTGGAGGAGGAGCCCCTGGCTGGCTGCGCATCTTCCTGGCTTTGGTCAGGCTTTACTCCTGTCCACACACCCTTGGAACATCGGATCCAAACAATGACAGTAACAGAAAAGACACCAAATTACCTTTCTCTGGAAAGATGTTGTTTTTGGTGAGCTTGACACTTTTGGGCCTGGGGCTGCTGTCATCCATGCCCATGATCAGGTTACGGAAAAACAGATCAAACTTCTTCCTGCTGTCCGTGTTGATGGTGCCGGCCACGGTCCACACCAGGGCGAAGAGAAACAGGCCTTGCAGCCAAAGGAAGGTCTGCTGGCTCGTCAGGCCTTCAGAGCCTTCGCTTTCGTCTTCCTTTATGTCCCTGATTTCATCTGAAAGCAAGCAGAGGGACTCGGAATGCTGCAGAATGGTGTGACCTGGGCCTGAGTCGGCGAGGGGCCTGGAGAGAGGATGGGCATTGGCTGAGTGGCCGTCATGTGCCAGATCCTTTGTCCACATACATTTCCCCCCATTTTTTTGTTGTGGTAATATACTCATAACATATAAGTGACCACTAACCATTTTTAAGTATGCACTTCAGGGAAGTGCGTTCACAGTGCCAAGAGCCATCACCACCATCCGTCTCCAGAGTTCTCTCATCTTGCAAAACTGGAACTATGTCCCCATCACACACTCACTCCCATCATCCCTCTCCCTCCTTCTGACCACCACCATTCAACTGTTGTCTCTATAAATCTGACAACCCCAGGGATGGAGGCAAGATCACCCAGTGAGGTTAAACTCGGTGGGTGCAGTTTGAGGAGAAATAGTTTCAAATGATCTTCTCTAAGATACTTGCTAACAACAGAGAAACCAGTCACTTTACAATAGAGACACATGGCTGGTCAAAGTCAGCTGGCCAAAGCCTTCACCAGCACACAGGCGCCCCTCCACCGCGTGCCTCTTGGGGCACTGAGGACCCAGCACCCTCCTATGACTTCAACCCAAAGGCTCAAGCCCGCGTCTGATTGTGAGAAAACACGAGGCCACAAGCTGTGAGGCATTCCGTCACATAACTGACAGTGTTATCAGGTGACACGGCTATGGGAGACCAGGAAAGAGAGAGGACCGTCACAGGCTGCAGGAGCCCAAGAAGATGCAATAATTAAATACAATGTGGCATCCTGAATTGGAGTCTGGAACAGGAAAGGGACATTTGTGAGAAAACTGGTCAAATTCAAATAAAGTCTATAGTATAGTTAACATAGTATCAAGGTAAATTTCCTTATTCTGATCATTGTGCCTGGGTTATATAAGATGTTAACGTTAAAAAAAGCTAGGTGAAGGTATATGTGACTCTCTATACTCTTCAGCAATTTTCTCTAAGTACTGTATAAAGTCATTTTAAAATAAAATGCTAAAAATGTATTTACTGTTCCTTATCTCAAAGCCCGTGGATCATAGTGATCATGTTCTTGCATTTCCACATCAACAGAGCAAAGGGTTAGAGCTCTGAAATCATATTTGTGTGTTCAAACCAGCCCCCCATTTCAATAGTTGTATCTGGGCCCTTCTGAGTGGGCTCATGGCTACAAACTGGGGAAGTCAAGCGATTAGGTCCCTCGGTGTCAGGGACAAAGCGGCCCTCTCTCATGACGGTGCCTTCTCTCCTGGAGGAGATACTGCACAAGAACAAGAGACAGAGCTGGGAAAGTATACAAAACCCACAAATATTCATGCAAACACAGACATTGCATGCAATCTGTGTGCTTTGGAAACATTGTGTAATTTTAATTTTAGAAAACCAAATCAATATTTAGCCAAAGAAAGTGCACTCAACAGTTCACCGCATTACACTTTTGCTCTGCATCTATCACACCTCCCGAAGAATGGGCTGCAAAGTGCTAACGCAGCAGAAGTTGTAAGAAGGTCCATCCTGAGTTTGAGTTACATGCTATTTTGAGAAAGAAATGGCATCCAATAAAAGTTTTCCAAATGACACACCCTTTGTCATTTCTAGTAGAATTCAAGAAAGTTGGATTTATGTAAAACAGTCACAGGGAACTCCTCCCGCACAGCTAGACCAATGGGCCTGTGATTTATGTGCTTCCCATGTCCGGAAAAGTCTTCTAGTTTGTAGACTAAGGTAAGCAGTTCTTTATAGTCTATCTGGGTGTTTTGCAAATTCAGATTTTTATAATTGTATGTTTTCTTAATTTCCTGTCTAATTTTTCAGAATTTTTATTCAGAGATACGTTTACATGTACCAGCTGCATTCATTTCCCTCCAGGATACGCTCGTGTGCTAGGTAAAGAGAGACAGGGATTATCGCTCCCATTGTGCAGATGAGGAACCTGAGACTGAGAAGAGATGGATAATTTGCACAAGAACATCCAGAAAATCAATCCAAGATCAAAGCTAAAGCCAAAATACGTGGACTCTTTCCACCAAACTCTACTATCTCCACTCCAAAGGCTTGCTTGTTCTAGATCAAAATGCCGATCTGAAACTCAGGGTTGGGCGGAATAACAGGTGTGAGCGGAAGAAATAGCCAAGGCACAGCCCACCCCATGTGGGAACGCTCACCAAGCAGAGAGGAGTACAGTCTCATCATGGAGAAGGCAAGGTGGGTGGGAGATGTTTGGACCACAAATTTACACTGGAGGCGAATGAATTCCAGGCAGGGCTGGACAAGCCACATGAACATGTCATTGACCTGAAAGCAGAAAGTGAAATTCAAGGTGTTATAAAAAAAAATGAGTTTAGGAGCAAGAGCTCGGAACACCTCGGGGAGCGAGATGCTGGTAAGGCCGCTGATTACTGTGAGTGCCTCTGTGCCCCTGTGCCCCTCCCAGCCTCCCACTTAAGGGGCGCAGGCCACAGGCCCCGCTCGGGTCCACTGTGGGTGGGCAGAGAGGCTGCTGCTGCAGTAGGTCAGCTGTAGGACACATGCAATAGCTTCAGGGCCCAAACAGGAAATCTGACTTTGTTTCTATAAAATGTTCTAAACAGCCATTTGCAAATGACTGGCATGTGTAAGGCAGGTCCTGTACACAGGCCTCAGCAAGTGCAGCGCTAAGTTCAAGGCTCACTGTCATTAACTCCCTGTATGTGCATACAGACCCACTTGTGGGGTAATAATCCCAGTCTCTTGTCTCTGCTCTCCCTCCCCCCATTTACTCTTTAAAAAAAACCTACTCGCCCTAGCTGGGTTGCAGTGGATAGAGCATCAGCCTGTGGACTGAAGGGTCCCAGGTGCCATTCCAGTAAAGGGCACATGCCCAGGTTGTGGGCTCAATCCCCAGTGTGGGGCATGCAGAAGGCAGCCAATCAATGATTCTCTCTCATAATTGATGTTTCTCTCTCCCTCTCCCTCTCCCTTCCTCTCTGAAATCAATAAAAATATATTTAAAAAATTACTTGACTTACTTCCTCCTCCTAGTTTAGGTTTTTTTTTCATTTTTCTTATAATTTACTTGTGACTATTACTGTAAATTACCTTGAGTCCTTTTTTTGGAAGTAGACAAGTCACCGCTAAATAAATGCATTCCTAGGTTGCACACATATGCGGGTACGTGTGAATGTATAGATGCATTATCAAACATATGAATGTATGTACACGGGTGGGTGGCATATGCACTCCATCAACAAGCACTAATGGAGTGACTGCAGTGTCGGAGGTGCTGAGGATAGAAGGTGGGCAAGAGAGCCAAGTCCCTGTCCCCCCCCGGAGCTTCCTAAGGGGCAGGAAGGATCAACGGTTAATAGTTACACAAGGAAGAGCATGAGTAAGAGACTCACAAACCAGGGGACCATTGCCAGGACACAGAAAGGCACTGCAGGAAGGAGGAGGGCCATGGGGAGGCGTGCTTGCAGCTAAGAGAGTGAGCGCATTAGTCAGGAACTGCTCCCTGCCCGTCCCAGGCGAGCTGCTGCTCCAAGCCCGCTCCTCGTGGCTTCCAGGCGATGGGTTTCGGGGGCGGGGAAACCACTCAGGACCGTGGGCCCTGCTGACGGGCTGGGGGAGGCTTCTTCAAGCAGGAGGCCTCGCGCCCACCCTGGGTAGCAAGGGGGGCTCCTCACCAGGTGAAATGGGGCCAGGTTTGCAGGAAGAGGAACACCAAGTACAAAAGGCCTGAGGTGGGGAGACCAGACCTGAGGCGGGAGCTAGTGACTGAGGCTGGAGGCAGGTAGGGCCGGATCCGAGCCCCAGGCTCTGACAGGGGTGAGCCTTTGTGCTGGGTCCCTGGGGCTTCCTTGCCCGCTGGGAAGGTCTCTGCGTGCACATGGACATGTGTCTGCATAAACACATGTGCTCAGGCATCTTGCACATGCATGTACATGTGACAGGCAGAAGCTGTCCTACAAGGCTCCCGGAGCGATTGCAGTGGGACTAACACCCTTCTTGGTGTCACCTGTGGGAACCTGTTTTGGGATCCGATTGATGCAGGGAAAGCCGGGGGCACCCCCACCCCGCTCCATGCTGCTTCCCTAGGCTGAGGGGCAGGTG